TAAAACAAAATAAAACCCCTGAAACTAAAAAGAAAGAGCTGTTTCATTTAAAAATTTATTAACTAGCACTGCTCTCAAGCTTGTATATCAGAATATTACAAAAGGTTAGGGAAAGGCTTTCAAGAACACTTTCTCCCCTGGGGTCAGAAATGGAGCAGCTGTAAGGCCAGATTATACCCAGCAGCTCCATCTGATGGGTCTCAGCAAACATCGGCACTGGGGCCATGGGGAGTCCCTGCCTCTGAGTGCTATATTAGAAGTTACCCAAGTTTCACAAGCATTGTAGACTGCCCCCGGAGATTTCTAAAAATGGTGAGGAGATACCTTAAAGTAGAATGGAGTTCCTCCAACAGCAAGGATTGTGGATGGGGTCAAGATCCATAGAAAAATTGCTCTCTCCAAACTAACTGGCAGTTATCAGTATTCAGATAACTCCTATTGGCCTAAATGTAAAGATAAATGCCTATTCTTAAGAAATTTTATTTGAACAAAGTTAATTCAATATTGAAATTACAAATCACTTCCCAAATATCTCTGACCACAATAGACCTAGAAAAGCAAACCCCACTAATTAACACTAAATATTATGGGAGCTGATGCAGATCATCAAATTTAGCAAATGCTCATGTAGTGTATATAAGCCAAATGCCACCAAAGCCATGAGATAGAGTTGTTTTTCTGATAGTGTCAATCCACTGGTCCTGGTCATGACCTGATGCCTAACTTTGGTGACCCACAGATTTGTAAGAAGTTGTTCAGGATTTAAAATGTAAATGGAGGTCAAGGTAAATTAACCCAGACATGACCGAATCCCTGACCTTGTTGTCATGAGTCCTGGGCTTTAATCAAATGAACTAACCAGCTTGGACAGCAGATAATGAACCTACCTGATGAAATTCTTGGCCAGAGACATACAACAATCTTAATTTATTCTGACAGATACTACTGAGATCAAAATGTGGCAACATGTATTAATGAGATTTTTAATTGAACTAGAATTTCAACAAAGAACCTAAATTTAAGATAAATGATTTTTTCCTAAAATACAATTAAAATGGTTAACATAGATCTCTATTACCTCACTTTCCTCATAATTCATTGAGAGTTAGCAAAATATTATGAACAGAATCACTTTAGTTGCCACATGTGACATAGCTAGTTCATAGCTAATTATTAGCAATTCATGTAGGTTATGTCTCCATAGAATATTAAAGATTGCCTTTAGTTATGCTCTTGTGACTTGATGAAACTGTGCAAGTTAAGATTACTGTGTTTTTGTGTGCCATTCTATTGTCTAGCATAAAAACTAATCAGCAAATTCAGCTGCTATGGGATACAAAACATTTTCTCACAAAACAATTGAAATAATCAGTTTTTTAGCGACCAACGTGAAGAAGTTTCTTAATGTAGAAAAAGAGCTTTAAATGATCTATGTACGTTAATCTACAGCAATTAGTAACTTAAGTAGTTACTAGAACTTATTTTGGAAATCACAGTTGATGATTTATCACGCTACAGGATTGCTCTAATTATTACTTAAACTGATGTGATAGTAAGAGAATGGGCAGCAATATGAACTTATGAGAAGTGCACACATCTAAGAAATTAGATATAGGTTTTGAAAATCAGTTTGGGCAAGCTTTTACTCTCTTTATGTCAAGTTCCTCTCTCCCTGGAGTAAAGGTTGTGTTGTGTGTGTGTGTATTTTTTACAAGAACCAGTTTGATGTAATTAGAATTAAAATTTCCAATCAAATTATTTTTAATTTCAGAAGGCTTTATCTTAGTTCTGGTTGATACTCAGTTTAAAAGGGATACTAAACACAAGCTTGACATGTATTTCCAGTGGACCCTGTTCCTCTGATCACATTCTCCAATTCTCACTCAGTCAAAAAGATCTACAAATATATAAAAGCATTTCATAATCTTTCATTTCATATGGCTTGGCTATGAAATTATTTTTAAATGTCAGTAATATCTTCTTTACTAATCTAGTTGCAAATTAGGCTATTTTAAATTGAGTACAAATTGTCCCCAACTTACATAAGTTAATGGTTTAACAAGATTTTTTGACTTTACAAGGCCACGAAAGTAGTATGCGCTTGGTAGAAACCATACTTTGAGCACCCAAAGTATTCACTTTCAATACAGTATTCAATAAGTTACATGAGATAATCAACAATTCCTTATAAAATAGGCTCATGTTAGATGATTTTGTTCAACGGTTAGCTGGTTAAGTATTCTGAACATATTTAAGGTAGGCTGAGCTATAATGTTGGTAGTTTACATGTATAAATTGCATTCTGTCGCAATATTTTCAACTTATTATGGGTTTATTGAGATGTAATCACATTGTAAATTGAGGTGCATCCATATTTTTGTAAGAGTTGCCCTTTGCTACCACAGTTAGTTAGCACATAAGCACTCACTTTCCCTTCTGCCTGGAAAACTCACCTGCAAGCTCCCTCTTGCCTGTCAGGTCTCAGCTTGATTTAAGGTTGCCAAATAAAACGCATGATGCCCACCCAAATTTGGATTTCATATTAAAAGGGTGTTTTTAGTAGAATGTGTCCCAAATATTTCAGGGAACATACTTAAGCTAGAAAATTATTCATTGTGTATCTGAAATTTGAGTTTAATTGACATTATATATTTTTATTTGCTAAATCTGGCAACCCTCAATTGACTGGCACCTCCTTAAAGAGACTTTTGCCAACCAGTTCTCAAAAATAGTCTTAGTCTCTCTCTCTCTCTCTCTCTCCTCCCAGAATTTTCTATTCCATCACTCTGTTCTGAATTCTTCTGAACATTTACTACCATCTGAAATCATCTTATTTTTATGTGTGCATTGTCCAACTTTCTTATAATAATATACATACACAGTGTTTCTGAAGCACACGAATTCAGAGATCAGACTTAACCCTTTTTAAGGAGATAACATTTTCAAAACTGTATATAAGATCCGTATTCTTCACCTCTTTACCCTCAACCTATATATAAAACAGTATGTGGTACACAACAGGTAATCAATAAATATTTGATGAAGAAATGTATATATTAAAAGAAAGAATTTGAAACTTATAAATAAATATCACCAGGAAGAAATCACTCTTGCAAACAGCACTACATCTAACTATGAAGCTAAATTTTAAAATATACATACATTTATATTTTCAAACAACTTATATGTGGCTTAAAGATTGAACTGTCCAAGAAATGTTAGAAAAAGCCATTTATTATGGGCATTCTTTTTTAAATAAACTGTAATCAGTGGTCTTTTTAAACCAAGGTATTTTTATTTTGCTGCAGTAATACATACCTGCCAGTAAAAAAATATGTACTTGAATTTGAATATGTTTATCCCTAGAGAGCCTTGATCTTACTAAATACAGAAATAGCACCATGAATAAATTGGATACACTTGTGTGTTCATGTAAGGTTTTCATTTTTTTTAAAATATTTTTTGCTTTCTAATTGTCCCTGAGATATATTAAAGTAAATGCTGTGAATCACAAGAAGACTGACATGGTTTCAGAACCCCCTCCTACCCTTTTGCCTTGTGATGAAAGGAAACATTTGATTGATGGGCTTCAGCTCATTACAAATATGTTATCAAGTCATCAAGGGCTTTTGGGTTGAAATTCAGAAAGAATAATAAAACAGAAGGAAGGACTAAAAAAAAATCCTACTATTTACAGTCATTAAATTAAAATGAAAAATCTGTCACATCTTATACAGTTTGAAGGTGTTATTTGCATTCCAACTCTATGGACGGTGCCAAGCCAGATCTCTGCATTTGTGTACTACACTAGTGGTTGTATGTGTCCAGAGGGGATAGTGTCTGAGGAATTTAGATGTTTGGGTGAACCATTATTTCAGAATTCAAAGATGAATTCTCAAAAAGAGAAAGAGACAGAATGATTTTAATAATGGTTTCATCCAAGTGATAAATGTTACACTACACTGTACTACGTGAGAGTTGCTAAAAGGGTACTGAGTAGATGTATAAGTAGATTTGATCAAATTACACTTTCATGGCTCCTGCAAGACAACTCTTTAAGGTTTCATTGAGAGAGTTGCAGAACAAACCTCACCGACAGTTTGACAAGTCTCGAATCTAGAATACCTTGGATTCCCTCTTTTCCGAGGCCTGCACACAAACATATTCATTTTGCCTCTGGTTCTCAAAAAGGGAGGAATTCTAGCTTCTCAGCCAAATATTGCTTAGAGGAAAAATTGTACAAAAGGTGAAGTTTCTGCAGCTCCTTACAACCTCAACATCCTGTCTTCCTCTTATCTTTCCTCTCCCCACCACACCTCTCAAAAAAAAAAAAAAAAAGATATCCTTACCTTTTTCCACTACAGTGGTTCTCCAAAATGGGTGCTCTTTAGATTCGCCTGTTTGTTTTAGTTTGGTTTTTAAAATACAAGTGCCTAGGCTCTACCTCAGATCAATTGATTCAGAATCTTAGGAGGTGTTTCCCTAGCATTTTAACAGCTCCTCAAATGATTCTAATGTGTTACCAGGAAGAAGAACCACTGTAGCAGGCCATTAAGTGAAAGCTAACATAAGAACTGATCAAAGGTTTAAGGCAATGGCTCTCAAGCTTGACTGCACATTTGAATCATCTGGAGGAACTTTCAAAAAAAAAAAATGTCCACGCTCTATCCCAGACCAACTGATTCAGACTCTCCAAGGGTCTGGGTCATCAGGTCCTCCACCTGATTCTCATGTGCACTAGTGTTGAGAACCACTGGTTTCTAGTGTAATCCTTTGCAGAGATATTTGTATTTTCATAAACAGTTAGGAAGTTGCTTCAATGATTAAAGACAGGAAAGAGTACTGGAAAACATTTGTCTGTCTGTATCACCACCATGTCCTCTCTCTTTCTGAACATTTTCAAACCAAATTTTGTAGATAGGTTCTTCTATGTCTACTTATATAATGATGGATCCCAGCATACTATTTTCTGTTACTAAAAATTGTGTTGTGATGATCAAAACTGATGAAAGACTGTTGTCTTTACAGTTGTTTTTATAATGATTACCTCCAAAATTTTCATATAAAACTTTTTTTGCATTTTAAATTTGTATATGTCTGTAAAATTAGGAGAGCTAAGAAACAAATTAGACTCCTAATGACGAGCATAAACTAAGGTTGAGTCTTTACATAAAGAAATCTATCTTCATTTGTATATTTTGTGAGGTTTTTTTAGAATAAAAGAAGTAAGAGGGATTCATGGAAGCTAATTTTCCCTTCAGGCCTTTTTGTACCAAAGAAAGGAGACGATTTTCTTACCCTTTTTTTTTTTTTCTATAAATGGTATTATATGCATGCATATTTATATATTTTTCTCTTTATGAAATTTCAGGGCAAAACAAATGGCCCATTTTCCAAGGTCTTTCTTCCAAGACAAGAAAGTACCACCTTTTAGAAGAGATATGATTAGGTTGCTGATTTTTCTTATTATTACAAAAAGAAATGGGAAACAGGGTCTATTCCAGGGAATGGGAGGGACAAAGGGACCATTTGGCCCCAGGCTGCTTACACATAAATAACTTCAAAATTGATTTTTACTTATTTTTTAAATGAAATCTGTTCATATAGTCCATCATACAACTTTAAACTTGTGCCCATTAGATACAGGTTGAGTATCCCATATCCTAAATGCTTGAGACCAGAAATGTTTTGGATTTCAGGGTTTTTTGCATTTTAAGATATTTGCATATATATAATGAGATATCTTGAGAATGAGACCTAAGTCTAAACACAAAATTTGTTCATGTTTCATATACACCTTATACATGTAGCCTAAGGGTAATTTTATACAAAATATTTAATAGTTTTGTGCATAAAACAGAGTTTTTACTGCTTTTGACTGCAACCAGTCACATAAAGTCAGGTGTGGAATTTTCCAATTGTGATATCATATCTGTAAGTTTTGGATTTTGGAGCATCTCTGATTTTATATTTTTGGGTTAGGGATGCTCAGCCTGTATCTACACACTGCCATTATGCTTTTGTATGAGTTAATTTTTTAGCATTGTCTATGTTTTTCTCTGAAAAAGTTAACTACTTTGCATTGAAGATTTGGAATATATTTAAGCATTGATTTTTTTTAATTTAAGCATTTAAAGTACTTTTTAAAAATTTATGACAAGATTATGCTAAAATTTACAGGAAGGAAAAGGAACTAGAGTAGCTATAATGGTTTTGAAAAAGAACGTGGTGGGAAGAATCACTGTACCCAAGTTTAAGACTTATTATAAAGCTACAGCCATCAACATTGTGTTCCATAGATCAGTGAAACAGAACAGAGAACGCAGAAATAGCCCCACACTTCTATATCGAGCTGATGTTTGACAATAATGTGAAAGCAATTTAGTAAAAATAAGGATAGTCTTTTCAACAAACGGTCGGAGAGCAGCTATATATTCATAGGCCAAAAAATAAACCTTATCCTAAACCTTACACTTTGTATGAAAATTAACTCAAAATGGATCATAGACTTACAAGTAAAATTTTAGAAGAAAATATTCAGGACCTAGGGCTTTGTGAAGAGTTTTTGGATAAGATACTGAAAGTGAAATCCATAAAAGAAAAACGGTTCAATATATTGGATATCATCAAATTTAAAAATGTTTGTTCTATGAAAGGCCCTGTTAAGACATGAAAGAAACAAGCTATAGGCTGGCAGAAAATACTTGCAAATCACATATCTGACAAAAGACTCATATGTAGAATATATAAAGAATTGTCAAAACTCAGCAGTAAATAATCCCAAACAGTCCAATTAGAAAATAAGCAAAATACATGAAGAGACTTCTCACCAAAGAGGATGCACAGATAGCAAATAAACACATTAAAAGGTATGCAACATCAGTAACCATTAGACAAATACAAATTTAAACTACAATAGAATATCAGAATGGCTAAAATTAAAAAATCATGACTCATAAATAGCTGCTAAAAAGTAAAATATTACACATTCAAAGTCATTATAGCCATGTCTTACAATACTAAACAAACATCATATGACCCAGAATTTTTATCCCTGGGTCCTTATCACTGAGAAATGAAAACTTATTTTCCCACAAAAACCTGTGTGAATACTCATAGAAGCTTTATTTGTAATAGCCAAAACTGGAGATGAAGAGTTAAACTGTAGTATGCCTATACCATGGAATACCACTCAGCAATAAAATGGAAGCATTATTGATGGATCTAATGGGTGTTATGCTGAGTGAAAAAATGCCAGTCTCGAAAGGCTTATATTATTGTATGATTTCATTCATTCTCAAAATGACCAAATTGTAGTAATTAAGAACAGACGAATGACCTCCAGGGTTTAGGGTTGATAGTGAGGAGGGCAGCATGAGGGATGGTCTAGCCTGTAACCTGACTGAACATACACATGACATGGAAATATATGACTCCAATGTCAATGTCCTGGCTCCGATATTGTACTCTAGTAGCGTAAAACTAGTGGAAACTGGGTGAAAGATGCACAGGGACCTCCTGTACTATCTTTACAACTTCCTTGGAATCTATAATTATTTCAACAAAAGTTTGATTTTTTTTTATTAAGTATTGACATTAAATATAAGAATTTAAAATAGATTCTGTTTGTAATTCTCTTGGACCATTTTATGTTTCTAATATGCCGGAATCCTCAAAAGCTAGAAGAGGCCTGAGCCTCTCAGACCTCTTACCTCTGAGAAGTGAGAGAAGTAAAACTCACCAGCCAGGCTGGCCCTAACATCCTCATGGGAAGCCTAGTTGGAAACATCCCTGAAGAACACTGCCTCAGGCTTCCAAGGCCTGTGGGGTGGGATCTGCAAAGAGGGAGATGATAAGCAGGACTCCTCCTGACCCACACCTGGTCCCCCATATGAAACACACACACACACACACACACACACACACACACACACACACACGGTTTCTCAGAGTCAGCTCTTACCACGGCCTCCCTCGTCATCTTTGCCACCTTTGCATCTGCATCACTGATTGCTAATCCCTAATCTATATAAACACCCTGTGAGATCACTTTACCTATCTTGGCTTCCATCTCTGCAAAATGATTCCACAAGAGGCAAAACCAGTCCTGTGGATTTTCCAAACCCAGAAATACTTCTGTTGTGTTTCCTGTTACATGACTGAGTTTTGTGGAGAGTCCATGAGACTGAAGGAGAGGAAACTCCTATGTTACAACTGTTTAACCCACCTTTCCCTTAATAACTCTTCTTCCTATTTACTACCTTTTTTATAATTTTCTTTATTATTTCATACTAGATATAAGAGTAAAGTAGGACTAGAAAACTTTTTTTAAGTCTTTGAACAAGAAGCCTTATGACCTCCATGAATGCATATTTACACACAGCTATTTTGAGTTTCAAGATACCTGAAATGGGTGTAGCAGCATTCTTTATATAGTACTTACTGTAAAATCCACCCTCAACTTGATCTCCCTTGTGGTTGAGAGTATGCATGTATTCATTTCTTTTTTTTTCCTTTTTGAGACGGAGTCTCAGTATGTTGCCCAGGCAACAGAGTGCAGTGGTGCAATCTCAGCTCATTACAACCTCCACCTCCCAGGTTCAAGCAATCTTCCCCTCCTCAGCTTCTCCAGTAGCTGGGATTACAAGTGTGTGCCACCTCACCTGGCTAAAATTTTTTGTATTTTTAGTAAAGGTGAGTTTTCACCATGTTGGCCAGGCTGGTCTCGAATTCCTGACTTCAAGTAATCCTCAAAAGCCATTTTATATAGGGCTTTACTTATAAGAAATAAGTGGGACAAGTAAGAAAGTCTTAAGAAACATTGCACTCTAATTCAGATAATTTATATCTATATAATATTCACAATTATATAAAGCATAATTAACCCTTAGTTTGTAAAGTTTATATAAAGGCTACATTAATTAGATACTTGATTCAATAATAGCTTACCGATCTATTTTAAATAGCCATTTTCTTAAGCACTTATTAGGTCTCAAGAACTGTGTTGAGATAAATGAATTCATCTAACTTTCACTGCTGGGCAAGGTGTGAGAGCCCTAGCATCTGAAAGTGGTCCACTCTCGGGTTGCAAAGAAGAAATTACTGACAACAGTATAGGTTTGAAAAAGGAAAGTTTTATTAGAAAGAAAGAACACTGCAGAAGGGTGCAGCAGGGTGCCTCAGCAAGACAGAATGGAGTGGACCATGGCGGATTCTCCTTAGGAGCATTTATGGACCTTAAGACAGAAACTTGAGGGTAATTTTGACCATATTAGCCAGTAGGTTGTGATAAATGATTACATTTATAGTCATTTTGATGCATTAGTATCAGCAAGCGTTGCACAAAGAGTGCATAGCATTCTAGAGATGTAATGAAATTTTAGTTACTTATAAATTTTTTTGAAAGAGTCTTGGAATCAGATGCCTCTTTAGATACTAGAGAACTTTTATTACTTTTAAATTCTCTTGATACAGAGTTTCGCCTCTGATGGCCTATTTGATGGTTTCCAGGTGGTCTTTGCTCCCCTCATGATACTTCTAAGATTTTTGTCTCCAGCACGTGCTCATGGTCATTAGCTGATTTTTGCCCTCCTCACCCTCGGTATCTCTCAAGTAGGTACCAGCAATCCCTCATTTTACAGATGAAACTGAGACACAAAGAGTTTTGAGTAACTTGTTCAAGGTCACACTGCTGGTATGAGGTGAAGAAAAATAGAAGTATGTAATCAATATCTTCATTTAAAAAAAATTATGAAAGTATAGAATGTAGTGACCAAATAGTCAAAAAAAGTCTGGAATCACTCTCTTTGAAATGATTAAGATAATCCAAGTGAGAATATTCAATTAACAAAATCCATCTTATTACAGGATACTGGCAACTGCATCAAATCTACATTTTGCTTGCAAATGTTCATCCAATATGAAAGAGAGAATAAAAATATTAGAATAAAATTTTTTTAAGTGAGAGGACAGGCAGTTAGACATTCTTTTGTGACACAAACTAGTTCTATGGTAGAATAATGAAGGCACTGTTAAGCAGTTTGAAGATTTGATTTATAAAACTATGTGTTAACTGATTGGCAACCAACCAATAGAAAGTAAATTGCTAAACTAGTCTGCATGGGCAGATGCTACTAAGAACTTTTCAAAGGCACAGCTGTGCTTTTATACAAAGGTCCCTGATCATCTACAGGTACTTTCCCACATATGGTCATGACATTTGATGACACCTGTTCAGGGTATCAGTCACCAGCTGGTTTATAAAATGATTCAGATGTTATACTTAATTAGATTATTCAGTGCTTCTGTGCAACTACAAGAATGTCCTGTATTTCTTGTCCTTTTCTCCCATAACTTCTGCCTCCCTACAGAGACCTAAATGCTCTGCCTGTGATAGAAGCATGCAACTTCAGATAAGCTCAGGTAAGCATATAGTTGTTTTGGATAGGCTAGAATGGAAAGCCCAAATTTCTGAAACCCCAAGAAAAAGGTACAAGCTCTATATATGCTGTCCAGCCTGCATGAAATCTACCATGGGAGAATTGAGTAGTGATTATGTCTGGTTTGTAAGTTCCGCATCAAATGCACAAAGTGTTAGTTTCAACCCATTTGGGTAAAAGAAATAATGTCCTTAAAACATTCTCTCTTACTTCTTTCCTTCTTTCTTACTCTTCTCCACTGGATACTCTTTAATCATTCATCATCTTCCTCTTTATTTATCTGATACTGTGCCTGGGACATAGAGTCAACTTTTCTGCTTTCAACTCCTTCATCCCATCCTTTTAATATTATTCAACTAATATTTATAAAGTTCATAGGTTGTGGTAGTTAGCGCTTTTCTGACCATTGAAGATGTATCATTGAACAATAGACACTCACACACATGCACACCTACATGCATGCATCAAAAAAAAATTAACTAAAAGCTTAAACTGAATATTGGGAAGAAAAGATTTTTGAGAAAAATTCAATACTGAAAGAGAAAATATTCCTCAAAAGTATAGAAAAGCAACCTAGATTATTGCAGGAGATCATAGAAACTAGTTTGTTTTTTATTAAATTTTACAAACAGTCACAATGGTTCATAACAGTGTCTCAATTTAGTTTTAACTTGCATTTTTTTTGTTTGGGGTAATAGTACGAATCTTTTACTGTATTTGAGTCTTTTATATATTTCCTTAGGATAAACTATCAGATCATATTCTTTGCCTAATTTTCTAATGGGTAATTGTTTTTTTCCCATTGATTTATATGAGTTGAAAATATTTTTCCCAGTTTGTTGAGTACCTTCATTCTGACTTTGGTTGTGAATTTTGCATTGCAGAAGTTATTTATTTTTGTGCAATCACGTTTTTCCAACTATTTGTTAATGGTTTAAAGATGTAGGAAAAGGACCTTCCCCTCTAAGATTGTAAAAGAATGTTCCATGGTTCCTTCTAGCTCTGTTCTAGTTTCATTCTTTAAAAAAATAAATCTTTAATGTATTTTGAATTTACCTTGGAGTGGAGTGTAAGGCAAAAATTTATTTTTTTCTTTCAGGTAACTGTTTAGTTGCCCCAACATTGAAACTGCCTTTGCAAAAAGTATAGCTGAAGAAATTATGACAGTGAAAGAGATCAGACCTAACTGATCCCATCTTGCTTCTAACCTTTAAGCTGTCCTTATTCATTCCTGGGTGTAGGCAGAACTAATCTTGGGAAGGAATTTAGTTTATGGGTTGACTCAGAAACAAAATTGATAATATTCCTTTTCCCAAAAGACCCACTTCTTGCCTTAGGTCAGTCTGCCTTTGTAGGACTAAGAAACTATAAGATTAGATATTGCAGTTTAGGGATCATGCACTTCTAGCTGCCAGAGTCTGACCCTCTGAAACTGCTCCTTGCATAATGGATAACATCACTATTGTAAAACCTAAGATCAGTGTTTGAGATAGTTTGCTGACCCTGCACTGGACGGATCAGCTGACACCACCCAGATTGGTAATCTGGCTCAACCAGTTCTGCGATCCCCCCTGTGATTCCATCTCCAACCTGACCAATCAGCACTCCCCACTTCCAAGCCCCTACCCATCAAATTATCTTAAAAAACTCTGATCTTTGTGCTCCGGGAAACTGATTTGGGTGTACAAGGTATCTGATTTGGTGAGTATTCCAGGCAGCTACCAACTGCCCGTTCCTTCTCCTGACTTGCTGACCTCTGTAGAGCTGCTGCTTTCTCTCAGTAACCTCACAGGGTGTCTGCCTATTGCTTCATTACAAGGTGTCTGTAGCTGTAGCCCCATTACAGAGTGTCTGTCTGTAGCCCCATTAGGAGGTGTCTAATTGGACGGAGAATAGGGGACTTGTTTGGAGGACTACTCTTGCTTTGAGACTGGGTCTGGAATCTTTTTCTTGAAGGCCTTCTGTTCATCTTACACTCTGTGTGTGTGTGTGTGTGTGTGTGTGTGTGTGTGTGTGTGTGTGTGTGTGTGTGTGTGTATATGGTTGGAGGGGAACCCTGAAGGACTTGCTGACAGAAGTCCTGCAGGCCTAACTCAGGGTGCACAAAGACTACCCATGGAGTCCCCAGTCAGGGATCATTTCTCCCCACCTGCAGTGGATCAGAGACAGCAGAGACCAACGAGAGAAAGTTTGAGCCTTGCCAGGTAGATATTGGGTGCTGAAAGAGGTGACTAATGTCTGTTTCATTGTTTGTATTTTGCTTCGGTTGGAATGAAAAATGTCAACTGGGTTTTCCATGCAGCCTGATGGACAACATCTTGCAAATTTGAGAATCTTTTGCCCTTGGTTCCATAAAACAAAAAAAAAAGGTGATGATTTTTATTGTTTCTTTATTTTTATTTTTATGAGACAGTCTTGCTCTGTCACCCAGGCTGTAGTGCAGTGGCATGATCTTGGCTCACTGCAACCTCCACCTCCCAGGCTCAAGCAATTCTCCTGCCTCAGCCTCCCCAGTAGCTGGCACTACAGGCATGTGCCACCACACCTAGCTAACTTTTGTATTTTTAGTAGAGATGGACTTTTGCCATATTGGTCAGGCTGGTCTTAAACTCCTGGCCTCAAATGATCTGCCTACCTCAGCCTTCCAAAGTCCTGGGATTACAGGTGTGAGCCACCACACCTGGCTGAAAAGGGCAATTTTCTTTTGCAAAGTGGCTTGATACCCCACAGCTAAGGCACAGCAAACAAAGCCATGAAAAGCCACTCCATTCTTCTGGAAGCTAGAAGGGAACCCAGAAACCTAGTATGTTAGCAAAAATGGTAAGAATTTCTTACCAGACAAGTTTCTGCGCTCTCATCTCTCTCTCTCCCCCTTCTCTCTCTCCTTCTCTCTCTCTCTCTGTCTCTCTCCCCCTCTCTCTCCCTCTCTCTCTCTCCCCCTTCTCTCTCTCCTTCTCTCTCTCTCTCTCAGCGTTTGTGTGTGTGTTCAAATGGTAAACATCACTGTTTGTCTCCTTTGCGAAGACTTTATTAATAGAAAAAAAAGGATTTATAAGACTAGTCTTGGGCTGTAGCAAATCTCATGTACTTTGTACTAAGAATTTGTCTTTCTCTGTTGTTCGGTATTGGAGAGAGGGGTGTCACAGGTTAGAACGTGAGATTAGGACCCCTATAAGCCTGCTTTTCAAGCCAGCCCGGCAGGCTAGTCAGTTACAAACTTTGCTGTGGGTTTCTGACACCAATACTGGATGAAGTTTCTCTGTTTCTTTTATGTCTTTGAGAGCTTAACCTTGTAACCATGTGGGGATACTTTCTCTCGGTCTTTGCTATCCAGAAGACAGGAATTTTGGGGTTCATGTCATAGCCCTAAAAGTTATCTTGAGTAGTCAAAGGCCTTAGCAAACTTGAAACTGGCTCCTTTAGGGTTCTTCTGGAAAGTATAATAGAACCTGCTTAATGCTGGAGCTCGGTAGCAAGTGCTTTGTCTTTTGACAGCGGCAGCCCAGGTTTAATTCTTGGCTTAGGGAATGAGTCCTTTCTGGTTTGTCATTTGTATAACTTTCTGCCATTTATTGATTCTTTTCCTCCCATGGATAGCTTTTGATTTCCTGTCCTGAATTTTCCTTTCTCTGAATTACCTTTGGGGAAATTCTAAATCAGAAAAGAGAGAGAAAGAGGAAGGAGGAAGGAAGGAGGGAGGGAAGGGCTTACCATCTCTTTGGGACACCTTATGTATCTATAGTGAAGTCTTAATCTTATTAAATCTTACTAATTTTATGTGGGAAGTTACCTGTGGCAAAGTTCAAAAGCCAGAATCATTGACTGTTCTCTACTGGCTAGAGTCTGATAATAAGAGATTTTTTAAAAATTTCTAAAGAGCTCTGTGGTTAAAATTAGCTTAATTAAAAAGATATCCAAGCTATATGTGTGTGTGTGTATATATATATATGTGTGTGTGCATATATATATATATATATATATATGCACACACACACACACACACACACACAATTTTTTTAAGAGGCCTTTGTGTTTTTTTCTCTTCTTGAATCTTGGTTGTTTTTGAGAAAGAGTTTTTGTCTATTTGCTTTTCTTCTCAATCAACTGAATTACTTCTCCATTTTGCCCTCTTGCCATCCTGATGCCCACATGAGAGAAGATAAGATAATTTCTAACAGTTTCCATTCTGGAATAATACTAATTTTAAAAAACCCTCTGTTTTCCTCATGGAACCCTGGGAGTTGAATGCGGATAGACCTCTCTCAAAATCTAAGACCCTGTTCAGTTTTATATTATGTTATCTGACATTTCATTTTTTGACTTTTGGGGGTAGCAGAAATTACTTTGCATTATGGGAGAGCCTTGGTGAATAATGACTAGGTAGGAAATTTACTTTAAGGGATGAGAACAGTTATGGAGGGATACTTGGCTCTTTGCAGGCTTGAATCAGAGAAGCATGCTCTTGGCCATGGGAGACATGAAAAATTCCATCCCCCACCCCCCACACTGAGAAATGAGACTCCCATGAGGAATGGGCTGATTACAAAATGGACTGATTTGCTTTGGGTAGCCATGCAATGAAATCATAGTAAAAGTATTACACTCCCATAACATTTCCCTCTTTTGGGGGATTCAGGATGCAATATAAAAATGGAACCCTTAATTTTGAGAATCTGTTTTTGCCTTTCACCTGTCCCTGCTTATTAGGCCCTAGAAACTACATGCTTTCTCGGTCCTATTCATTGAAGGGCTCCATCCTGAAGTCAGTAATCCAATTAAGAAACTTAAAAACTAGCAAATGAAAAAATTCTTACAACTACTGGATCTTCTGTCTGCCTATGTATTTATATGTGTGGTGTGTGTGATGCCTATATAAAAGAACTCTAATAAATTGGCTTAAAGAAAAATGCTTTTCATCAGAATAAAGGTTTTTTCCCTTTTAAAAAATTTTTGAGTTATTTTTTCTGTGGGCGGGGGACAGAGTCTTGCTGTGTCATCCAGGCTGGAGTACAGCAGTGCAATCTCGGCTTACTGCAACCTCCACCTCCCAGGTTCAAGCAATTCTCATGCCTCAGCCTCAAATAGCTGGGACTTCAGGCAGGTGCCACCATGCCTGGCCCTGAGCTATCATTTTGAGTAAATGAATGACTTACGGTGAAATGGGATTCTATTTTGTGATATCCAATGTTTTAAACTTTGATATTTGACAAACCTTCCAAGATCAAATTCTAAGTAAAAAAAAAAAAAAAAAAAAAGTAGGTCTCCTAAAGTTCAAAAAGACATATTTGGCTTATTTAATGTATTAAAATCATGCAAGAAACATTGTCAAATATAAAATGGTGTTTAACTTTCTTTGGGTTATATTCATATGAATATGTTATTAGTATGTGGTACAAAATTGAATAAGATTTCAATAATTCTAATATGCCTCAGTATATGTTATCAGTAATAATAATTGTTGAATTTTTGTATGCCACAGAGGTAACAAGTTTCCTTGTCAGTTGTGTGTTTGACTGTGGCTTCCCTAAAACGTTTTTTTTTTGTCATCCACAGACAATTGTTGTCTTGATTTGGTCCTCTTTAGAAGATAGTTTTATAATGAGCTATAAAACTTTGACAGGTGCTCTTGAATGCGAGTTTCTGATAACCTTGGAGATTATGACATTAAAATAGAGGGAAAAACTTTCGGGACTCTCATAAAGAGCTGAAATGTTCTTTCATTTGAATGGATCATCTCAGTCTAGGTAGCAGGCAAGGTGAACCTGTTGGGTCATTATAACATTAGCTATTAAATAATCTGTTTTCTCATTGACCAGAGATGCTATTTTTATCATATGCGTGTGAGTCTGGATTTTTTTTTAACTTATGCATTAAACTTTGTCTATTTNTTTTTTTGAGACAGAGTCTATCTCTGTCACCCAGGCTGGAGTGCAGTGGCTTCCTGAGTAGCTGGGATTACAGGCGTGGGTCACCACACCTGGCTACTTTTTGTATTTTTAGTAGAGATGGGATTTCACCATGTTAGCCAGGTTGGTTTCAAACTCCTGGCCTCAAGTGATCCACCTGCCTTGGCCTCCCAAAGTGCTGGGATTATAAGCATGAGCCACCGTGCCTAGCCAGAACTTTATCTGTTTCTTTGATAGTACCACATTATTTAATTATTTTAGCTTTATAAAAATTTTAATATTTAATATGACTAGCATCCCATTTATTAATCTACTTTTCAGAATTTATAGATTAAATTAGGGAAAACTGACATCTTATGAGCCTTGCCATCCAAGAACATGCTGTACATTTCCATTCACATAAATTATGTTCTCTGATTCTTAAAAGCATTTAAAATATTTCTTCATATAGATGTTGCATCTATCTTGCTATCTTGTTACATATTGTCTTTATTCTGTTGCAGCTATAAGTAGGATCTTTTCATGGATTAATCTTCTTACTGGTTTCTTTTTTAATATATGAAGAATATGGATTTTAATTGAGTTCCCAGACTAGGTGTTGAATTGTTTCTGTATATATGATAATTTTTGGTTGATTTTCCTAGTTTTTAAAGTCTACAGTTTGATCATCTGAAATCCCTTTTGAATTTATGTACCTCTGATTTCTTTCTCTGATCTAGTTATGTTAGTTAGAGCTTCCAGAGCAATAACTAAAGTGATCATAGCAGATATATTTGTCTGGTTTCTGACGTTGTTGGAAATGTTTCTACAAATTATTTTTAGGCATAATGCTGAATTTTAGGTTAAGATCAATAATTTTTATATGTTAATGAAATATCTATGTATTTCTTTTTTACTACGAATCAAGAATAAATGTTAAATTTTAACAGATGTCCTTTTAACATACACAGATATGACAGATATGACAGGACTTTTCCCTTAAATCTTTTAATATAAAACTAAATTTTAATCTTTAAATTTGAATTAATGAACTTTCTAAAATTGAATTTATAGAACTGATCTTCAGATTTGTATAATAATCCCCATATGATCAACATATACCGTCTATTAGCAAGCTCTTGATTCTGTTTACTAATGTTTTATTTAGGTTTTTTGTATCACTAAGCAAGTAAATTAATCCATAATTTATTGGTGCCTTTTTTGTCAGATTTTGCCCTGTGTCCTTTCATCAAACAGAAGTTTTTCATCAATGATTTTGTTAAATAAGGCACATATGAGAATATATACAATTTTTACTCCTTCCAAATTTGGGGAGAAATACAGTTGAGATAATTAGATTAGGACAAGTCAATTACATTACTTCCTGGATATAGCTCTCTAATTTTCCATGCACGGAGCATTTATATTTTGCCGTGTATTTGTGTTATTATTTTTCAGCTATGGAGAAAACTTACATAGATGCACTTCCTCTTACTATGAATTCCTCAGAACAGCAAGAGACTGTATGTATTTTTGGAACTGGTGATTTTGGAAGATCTCTGGGATTGAAAATGCTCCAGTGTGGTTATTTTGTTGTTTTTGGAAGTCGGAATCCCCAGATGACCAACCTACTGCCCAATGGTGCAGAAGTCTTGAGCTATTCAGAAGCAGCTAAGAAGTCTGACATCATATTCATAGCAATCCACAGAGAGCATTATGATTTTCTCACAGAATTAACCGAGGTTCTTAATGGAAAAATATTGGTAGACATCAGCAACAACCTCAAAATCAATCAATATCCAGAATCTAATGCAGAGTACCTTGCTCAGTTGGTGCCAGGAGCCCACGTGGTAAAAGCATTTAACACCATCTCAGCCTGGGCTCTCCAGTCAGGAGCACTGGATGCAAGTCGGCAGGTAAGATTAAACAAGTTTACACTCAATCTTTAAAAAATGAATCATTTAATGGGCATTTGCCTCAAAGATTCCAAAATATAGTTCCCAGATAAAATATCCACTAAATATTACATTTTGCTAGCATGTGTTGTGAATAAATTTTTTGAGCTTGATCAAGTTAAGTGGTCAACTGTTGCAATTCATCTCCCACTGTCTGCACCCTCAGCTTTTAGTCTGATGAAACTCCGTGGTGTCAGCCTCTGGAGGCTTCTTGTCAGTACTAGAAACTAACACTTGGTAGATATCCTTTCCTACTTCCATTACCTTGTATGAAACTGGTTCCATTTATGCACTGAGATTAGAAGCATTTATAAGTGATGTGGCACCACAGATACAGAAGAAAGATCAAACTACTCACAGGGTGGAGAACCAGGTCCTATGTTAAGTGTGTTGTGCCTAAAACCATCCTCAACTAAAAACCCTGGTATTTACCCATCTAGGACACCATATACAAGTTTAAAGCATTTTGTTAGATATGTTAATTCTACGTCCTTATTTTAAAAACGGTTTACAATTACATGTCATCATTCTGCATGGTGCTGACATAGCCTTTCAAAATAATTATTAAATAAAGAAAATGAGTAAATACAGAATTAATTAATTGCTTTTAAACCAGGTGTTTGTGTGTGGAAATGACAGCAAAGCCAAGCAAACAGTGATGGATATTGTTCGTGCTCTTGGACTGACTCCATTGGATCAAGGATCACTCATGGCAGCCAAAGAAATTGAAAAGTACCCCCTGCAACTGTTTCCAATGTGGAGGTTCCCCTTCTATTTGTCTGCAGCACTGTGTATCTTCTTGTTTTTCTATTGTGTTGTAAGAGACGTAATCTACCCCTATGTTTACGAAAAGAAAGATAATACATTTCGTATGGCTATTTCCATTCCAAATCGTGTCTTTCCAATAACAGCACTTACACTGCTTGCTTTGGTTTACCTCCCTGGGGTTATTGCTGCCATTCTACAGCTGTACCGAGGCACAAAATACCGTCGATTCCCAGACTGGCTTGCCCACTGGATGCTCTGCCGAAAGCAGCTTGGCTTGGTAGCTCTGGGATTTGCCTTTCTTCATGTCCTCTACACACTTGTGATTCCCATTCGATATTATGTACGATGGAGGTTGGGAAACTTAACTGCTACCCAGGTAAATCTCTTCTTATGTATTTTCCTCTACTCCTGAAATCAGAGACTATTGCTACATCATATTCCATTTCATAATTATAGAAAGTCACTCTTCTAAGCATCTTCTTTTTTAAAGTAACTAGAATTAGAAATGTCACGTCAGTATTTTTAAATGAATCCAGTTGAGATCTCATACAACTATTAAGAATAAAATTTTAATTCCCAGGTTCGCTTGGGTCCAGATCTGTATTCCCAGAGCTCATGGGGATATTGGCAAACTGACAGATTTCATGGCTCAAGAAACCTAATGACACTTGCCAGGATACCTTTGGCTGGCAGTCAAATGTTACCTAATGTATTTTCAAGCTTCTACTCTTCTGCATGCTACTTCCTTTCGGAAGTCAAAACCAACCATCTTATAAGTAAGGTGGCTACTCAAACATGTGCCACAGCAAAGCAAACAAATTCACAAAAGAGTGCTTATAATTCCCTTAATGTTTGACTTGGGGGAAGTTGGCCTCAATAACTAGAAAACCAAACAATTCTAAGGAAATATCAAATATTATCTTATGCATAATCAAAAGATTCAGTTAGAATCAGCTGAAGGAGTCTTAAGACATTTCCAGAGGAAGTGCTATAAATCAGTTCTAGTTAGAAATAGCTAGTTTTGGTAGCTCTTACTTCAGTCTCAAAAAATATTGTTAGTCATTGATGATACTCCTATGAGTTTCTCTACATTATTTTCCTAATAAATATATGTAAGTTTCCTGGGTAAGAGTCACACTACAAGTGTCTGATTCCTCTCAACTTGTGGTGCAAGACTGATGTATTATATTATAACATAAAAAACATGAAAGAACCCAACTTTGAGAGTGCAAATAATCCACATATAAAGGAGAAAAGCAGAATTCTGATGTAATTGTTTGAGAACATCAAGTTTTGCTTAGGGAACAAAATGCAGGTGGTATGAAGTTTTCAGTAAGTGTTTAGTTTCTTTTAGAATTTATAGGGAAAATTAAAACTTTCTACACAACTCCTAGAATCAAGTTCAAACAGAACCAATTACTTCTTTTTGCCAAAAAATTAATTTCTAAGTGCATTTTTCACCAAAATTATTTTTAAATAACTTTTAAGAAATGTCATACAATTTGAGCAAATAATTCATGCAGACGTATTTTTCAGTCCCTTTCAAAGTGTGGACGGTTTGTAAAAATGTATTTTTGTAATTGCTTAAAATTTTTCTTAGGCAATACTCAAGAAAGAGATTCCATTTAGTACCTCCACAGCCTGGCTTTATGATTCATATGTGGCTTTGGGAATACTTGGATTTTTTCTGTTTGTACTCTTGGGAATCACTTCTTTGCCATCCGTTAGCAATGCAGTCAACTGGAGAGAATTCCGATTTGTCCAGGTAAGAACTTTAAGATCATTTCTAATTTTTCATTTTGCTCCATCACTTCCCTAACAGTCACATTTAAAAACTCAAATTAGAAAATTTTGAACCCAGGTATAAAAGGCAGAATCCATATGGTTTGATTTATTAATACAGCATTCCTTGCCAAGATTCCTGGCTGCCTCCAGATCCACAGCTAAGACAATAGGGTGAAAAGTACCAAGAAGTATTACAATTTATGTATGGAGACATACTAGGTACAAGGTGAAAAGAAATCCCAAGTCAAAATTTCACTATCTAAAAATTAATCTTACAACATGGAAATATTGGTATGGAAAACCAGATACTGAGATAAAGTTTAAAATCTTCAAAGCAAAATTTCATAGATGTCATCACATCAGAGGACTTAATGCTCTCCTATAAGAGGGAAAATTGTTTTCTTTCACATATCAACCAACCAACCCCTCTTTAAAGGCAGTCAGTAAATACACATTCTTGTAGACCCAAGTATGGCACCAGGACCAGCAGCATCTGCACCACCTGGAAACTTGTTAGATACACAAAGCCCCAGGCCATGCCCAGGTCTACTGAATCAGTAACTCTGAACATGTGGCCCAGAAATTTAACCCGCCTTCAAGATGATTCTGATGCATGCTTATTATGAGTATAATAGAATAGACCATTAGTCTTTAAAATTAGGTTAGAATTTTATAGAACTATTGGAATCTTAAGTCTTGCAGTTTCTCCCAGGGACCAAATGCCGTCAACATGTTCTCATTAACACTTTTCTTCAAGGTATTAAGACAGAAATAAACATCAAGCTTTAGAATGTAGGCTGAAACAAGTAGGATTGGCAATTGCTCTTTACTGTGATAGAAATGAACTAGGATCTGCTTTTAGTCAGTAGCATACACTAAGATGGTGCTTCTTGAGGCCATACTGTGTCTTATTCATCTCTGACCTCTAGAAAAGATGATAAATAAGAGTTCCACCTTTGGGAACCAAGGCAAGCTACATCATTTATTCTAACTTGGAAGAGATTATACCTGAGAAACTGTTCCATCCAGCTAGGTTAAGATGAAGCTACTATGTCATTTGTAAGCAATAATCTTGTTTTAAATGAAGCATTTACCATCCTGAAGAAGGGTTAGCGTTTTTTTCCAATACTTAACAAAGTGTCTTAAACATTATAGGTTTCAAATGTTTGCGGTTATTGACAAATATCTATCACTTGCTTAGAGTGTTTCACTTTAAGATGTAAATAATGTAAACTTAGATATTTTTGTTTCTTGCTTGCAGTCCAAACTGGGCTATTTGACCCTGATCTTGTGTACAGCCCACACCCTGGTATACGGTGGGAAGAAATTCCTCAACCCTTCAAATCTCAAATGGTATCTTCCTGCAGCCTACGTGCTAGGGCTCATCATTCCTTGCATCGTGCTGGTGATCAAGTTTGTCCTAATCATGCCATGTGTAGACAACACCCTTACAAGGATCCGCCAGGGCTGGGAAAGGAACTCAAAACACTAGAAATCAGCACTGAATGTGAAAAGCAGATATTTAAAGCAAAGTTCAATTTACCTGGAGTTCTGAACTATAGTTTTAAATGTTTAAAGAAGAATGATGGGTGCCGTTAGTAAAGCTTTTTTCTTACACCATGACTGAGATTCCTGAACACAGAGGGAAACATTGCCTATCTTTGAGAAATTGGTATACTAGAAGAGAACACTATTTTATCTCAGGTTAGTGAAGAATCAGTGCAGGTCCCTGCCTCTTGTTTTCCTGGTGGCTGTGGGGCTGAGATTGAGATTAGCTTTGTGGTTTCACACTAAGAAGCTTCTTGCTATGGGAAACATGCATGACCTAATATCTTGCAAAATCCAGTGGAAGTACATGCAACTTCCTTCTCTGACTCCAGGGCTGAGTTAAGTGAAAGAAAAAAACAGCACAGTGGTGACCACTGATAAAGGTATATCTGAAGAAGTGGGCCACATGAAATTTGAAAAGGAAATGAGTTTTTTTGTTTGTTTTTTGGAAGTAAAGGCAAACATGTATTATCTGATGAATTCTAGTGAAACGACCCCTTAACTTTGCTTTTATCAGTACAGATATTTACTGTGGAGAACTAGTTTATAATGTAACAAAAATTTACAATTGATTAAAAGTGACCATGCCTTGGATACATGCAAATCTGCAGAGTTGTCATATAATTCTTCCTCTACAAAAAGTAGGTATAGGAAAGACTGAATAAAAATGAAGAGATATCCACTTGGATTCCCCTTGCATTGTGCAACAAGCAAAGAAGGGTTAATAAAAGTCCTTGAACAAAAAGTTCAAATAAACCAGAATTTTAGACAGCAAGCTAAATAAATATTGTAAAGTTGCACTATATTAGGTTTAGTATTATTTTGGTATTATAATATGCTTTGTAAATGTTATATTCCAAATATTATTCAATATGTGTCATCTATTAATTTCTAGTATAAAGAGGTAGCCTCTATATCTGTCTTAGTCTATTATAATTGTAAGCAGTAAAATTAAATTAATAATCTGAAGGTATAAATTTGAACAATGCATAGATGATCGAAAATTATGGAAAGTCACAGGGCAGAAATGTGTGAAGAGTCGTCATTATGTAAAACATGGATCTTTCTCAAATCCTTCCTGAAATTTAGGATGGTTCTCACTGTTTTCCTGTGCTGATAGTACCCTTTCAAGGTGACCTTCAGGAGGATTAACCTTCCTAGCTGAAGCATGGAGTTAAAAGGAGCCTTATGCATGATCTCCCCACATACCAAAATAACTAAAAGTCGTTGAGTTTGTCATTTTTCTGCCTGTTCTACTAAGACATTTTTTTTACTTTCACCATAACATATCATACATAACATTATACAAAAATGATTAAAATATATTAAAACATCATTAACAATCCAGGATATTTTTCTATAAATCTTTTTGAAAATAATGCTATCTATATTATATATTCAATTTTATATCCTTTTCTACTTAATAAAGACCTTATTTTCTTTATTTTTTATTTTTTTGAGACAGTCTTGCTCTGTTGCCCAGGCTGGAGTGCAGCAGCATGATCTCGGCTCACCACAGCCTCCTTCTCCCAGGCTCAAGCAATTCTCATGCATCAGCCTCCCGAGTAGCTGGGACTATAGGCATGTGCCACTATGTCCAGCTAATTTTTTTACTTTTAGTGGAAACGGAGTTTCACCATGTTGGCCAGGCTGGTCTCAAACTCCTGGCCTCAAGTTATCTGCCTGCCTCTGCCTCCCAAAGCACTGGGATTACAGGCATGTGTCTGGCCTTACATGATATATTATCTTAATGGCTACATAATATCACATCAAATGTGCATTTTAAACCTCTTCCCTTATGAAACATGTAGACTATATCCACTTTTTACTAAAACAAATAACATTTCAGATATCTTTGCACTGATAATGTTTTTTCCATATTTTTCATTATTTCCTCAGAATAATTGCCAAGAATTGGGATTATAGAATTAAACAACTTTCACTAGCATTTGCTATATATTGCCAATTCCTTTTTAAAGTGGCCTTATCAATTTCATTACCATTAAATGAGGGTGTTGCTTTCATCATACCATTATAAATTATCTTTTTTATTTCAATTTGCATTTATTTATAACTGGTGGCAAAGGTACACAGAACACATGCTCCTTCAACTTATCCTTGATACCCCAAGCAAGGATACAAAAAGCTTGAAGATGTTGAGTAGGATCATGGTATATATTGTGCTGACCCTAGAGCATCAGCGGAAAAGACAGAAAATGTCACTACTCATCTATGTTTTGCAAAACACTCAGGTGTGCTGTGGCTGGATACTGCTCTTTGACTTGAGCATTGGTTGATTAAGTCCCATCCAGGTTCATCTAGAGAAGCCTTTGGAGTTAACCATACTCCTCTTTGTTAAAGGAGTAATATGTTTATCCTGGCTCATAGTATATCACTAAAAATAGAAAATGCCATACATAGGTAAAATGCTGACCTATAGAAAAAAATGAACTCTAGTTTTATAGCCTAGTAAAAATGCTCTACTTGAGTACTTAAAAGCCATCCACAAAGCCTGAAGCTAAAAAGAACACCCTGGTGGTTTTGGCATAACAGCTGCATTGCCAGACCTGACCTTTGGCCCCAACCACAAGAACTCCAAGCCCCATCAGCTGACCAAAGAAAGCCCAAGTTCTCCTTCTGTCCTTCCCACAACCTCCCTCCTCCCCAAACTACGAAATTAATTTGACCGCATTAACACAGCTGACTCCTCCAGTTTACTTAAGGTAGAAAGAATGAGTTTACAACAGACGAAAATAGGTGCTTTGGGTAGACTGCATTCCTTTTAACAGGTCCAAACTATTGTACATTTTAAAAAGGTAAATGGAACTTCTTTACTGCTGATATGTTTCCTGTATTCTAGGAAAATTTTTATACGTTCATATTATTTTTGTGCACCTTCCCCATTTTAAGGGATGATGGCTTTTGTAAATGTGTATTCATTAAACGTTACTTTAAAAATATTTTCTAGTTTTGTTTAATTCTGGTTTAAACTCATCAGCATTCCAAAGAAAGTTACCTAGATTTCCAGCATCTAGGACTAAAATACTTCCCTTCAGGGATAAGGAAAAGAGTATGGGTTTTAAGTGCCTTAACAGGTCTGCAGCTTCTTGCAATGTAAGCTTGAGCTCAGCAGGGTGGAGCAGTCCAGTATCCTCAGAGAGGGGAGAGCAGCAGATGGCTAAATGGGGAGGATTGCACTATCCCACCCTGGACTTCTGTGAGAATTAGGAGAAAAAAAGGCTTTCCTTCTCCACACAGACACCACAGGGACAGGGCTAATGGCCTGGCAAGCAGACATCAGGTTGGATTCAGACTGCATGACTGGGCATTAAATGCGTTGCACGACTGAACTGCTGCAGCCCTGATAGGTGTTATCCTGCTTTCAAAAATAGTATTAAAATGCTTTATTTATAAAAGAAGGCCAAGAAGCTAGAAGCAAATAGAAAGCCCCTATTGAAAAGTCATTTCAATTAGAAATCTATTCAGGAATTCTTCGTGCATTTATCGTTCAGGGTTCACAAAAAAAGCCGTGATAATGATAAATGTAGATTATGGATTTCTCCTCTGGGAGCACAAAAGCCTCTGGAGCTCCTTTCCAAAATTAAGGTGTAATGGCAGTCAAGGTACTGCACACAGTAGTTGCAATTTTCATTCTCCATCATCACAACCATCATCTTCATTACTACCTGTACAACACACACACACACACACACACACACACACACACAAGAGCCCACAGATAGTCCTACAGGATCCTACTTCAATTTTCTATAATGAATTAGGATTACATTCTAGAAACATCCTTCATTCTTTTAAAAGTTTGTTCAGTAGAATTTAGGAAACGAGATTAAGTTACTTTTCAATGTATCAAAAGCATTTGAACCAGAGTGACTCCTTCTAGAATAGAGGCTGGTAAAATAAGGCTGAGATTGGCCAGGCACAGTGGCTCACACCTGTACTCCCAGCACTTTGGGAAGCCAAGATGGGTGGATCACCTGACGTCAGGGGTTCAAGACCAGCCTGACCAACATGGTGAAATCCCATCTCTACTAAAAATACAAAATTGGCCTGGTGTGGTGACTCATGCCTCCAGCTACTCTGTAGACTGAAGCAGGAAAAGCACTTGAACCCAAGAAGCAGAGGTCATTTGCAATGAGCCGAGATCCCACCATTGCACTCCAGCCTGCACAACAATAGTGAAACTCCATGTCAAATAAATAAATAAGACTGAGACTCATTGGGCTGCATTCCCAGGAGGGCAGGTGTTCTTAGACACAGGATGAGATCAGAGTCAGCACAAGGTACAAGTCACAGAGACATTGCTGAAAAAACAGGATATAATAAAGAAGCCGTCCAAACCCCACCAAAACCAAGATGGCAATGAAAGTGACCTCTGGCCTTCTTAGCCGTTCATTATATGCTAATTATCATGTATTAGCATGCAAAAAGACACTCCCACTAGCACAATGACAGTTTACAAATTCCATGGCCACATCCAGAAGTTACCCTATAGGTTCCAAAAGCAGGAGGAGCCCTCGGTTCTGGGAATCGCCTGCCCCTTTCCTGAACATCTCATGAATAATCCATCTCCTTTGTTTAGCATACAATCAAGAAATAACTATAAGTACACTCAGTCAGGCAGCCCATGCCACTGCTCAACCAGTGAAGTAGTCCTTCTTTTATTCTTTTACAGTCTTAATAAACTCACTTCCATTTTACAGATTCACCTCAAGTTCTTTCTTGTGCAAGATCCAAGAACTCTCTCTTGGGGTCTGGATTGGACCCCCCTTTCCAGTAACATATGCATTACCTCTCCTCAAACTCAAGGCAAAGTCCTAATGTTTCAGATAAAACCCATATGAGGGAGGTGAAGGATCAAGGCTTAAGAGCAAAGGGACTGAGAAAAGGGGAGTGTGGAAGCGCAAGGCCGTGCTGTTGCCATTACCAGGTGAAGACCAAAAGAATCCAGTACTACTTGCTTCCTGCTGTAAGGGAATTTTGGAAGAGTTTTAATGATGTGTATTGCATAATGACCCCCCCCCCATGAGCAGAGCTTATGCTAACAACGTCACATGCATTATCTGACTTAATCCTTACAACAACGAGTCTCTAAGGTATTCTTCTTATCCTTATTTTTCAGAAGAGGAAACTGAGCTTTGAAAACTCAGTGCCTGGCCTAAGTTCATACAACGGATAAGAGGCAGAACTGGGATCTAGGCATTCTGGCTCCAGGGCCATCTCCTTTCAACACAGCAATATGATGGAGGACACCCATGCTGTCCTCCTAAGTGTCCCTTTGAATTTGCAAAATAGGCTGAGTGAACCAAACCCACTGGCAACTCTTCTTAAAAACATTTTGAAAGACAAGAAGCTTATTAGCATTTTAAATATTCCTGATTGCCCAGTCCTCAATACTCCATGTTTACCTCTGTTGATTTCAATTCATCCTCTTTGGTTGTAGAAACGTCAGATCTGCAGTTCCTGCATTAAGTTCAATCCCATTCCAATTGCCGTTTTAGTCTTCTCACTCTAGTCTGGCCACAAGCTTTCCTAAACACTAAAGGGAGCTTTGTTCTGGTGGAGGTAGGCAAAATCCCCAGACCTGAGGACTCAAAGACAGTCAAGCAGAGGACAGCTCTTCTCCAGAACTTAAAGGCAAATGTTTTCTTTTTCCCTGGTTTCACCTTATTGCTTTGTGTACTGAGTGAACTTATTTGTTCTTGAGATCCAGTAACCCATGCAGGAAATTTCATAACACTTCTCATTTAGTACTTTAACACTAGTTGATGAATCTAGGATTACACACATACAACAGGCTTAGTTCCATTACCTGTAGTGGCCAGTTTCTCAGTTTTATAAAAATGAAAGGCTGCTGGACTGAAACTCACAGTATTGTATAATAAAAACTATCAGATTGTGATAAACTAGAAAACTAGAATTAAACTTGACCTTATGATTTTCAGAAAGTCAACGGATTTTGAAGGAGCCCAACCAGTGTATTCATTTCATTTTTACTAATCCTTTTTTTCATACTAAGATAGAGATGAAAAAAAAAAATGACAGAGTTCCTGTTTTCATTTCATTACAGAAAAACAAATAAGTTTTAGTGTTCCATAGTTCTGTGGGATGGCTATAGTTAACAATAACATATAATTTCAAATAGCCAAGAGGTTATTCAATGTTCCCAACGCAAAGAAATGATAAATGTTTGAGATAATGGATGTGCTAATTACACTGATCTGATCACTGTACATTGTATACATATAAACATGACTATGTATCTCATGACTAGAAGCAATCATTATTTGTCAG